CAAAACTCCAGACGTCTGTTACAATCTGCGGGAAAAATTTCTTGCGTGGTCTGATTTTGTAGGACTTATATCCATGCCTTTTTAAAACTCTGCGCACCGTTCGAGCATTGCAACCAACTTGTTCGGCTATATTTCGGCTTGAACAAGGTTCGCTTGTTTCGACAGCGGCACAAATATTAATTTCCTTGTCGGGAATTACCTTCTCTGCGCCTTCCTTATTGTCACAATTTCTGCACGCCGCAATGCAGCCTGTTTGCTCAAATTTATGAACAATGTTGCGTACAGTTGTGGCATAAGGCACAGGGCGATCTTGAAAGGTGAACACATAACGCCCAATGACCTCTTCCACACTTGAGGAAATGTAAAACCATTTAACGATATGCACCTTCTCTTCGGTCGTATAAATAGCCATTTTTGAAACACTTAACGTACACACCGAAACAGCTAGGCGAAAAGAATGATGCAAAAATAGTTTGGATCTCAGGTGATCTATTTCCTTTCCCCACCTTTTCATCTACATAAAGGTGCGTATTCACTATCCGAACGAACGAATGCTACTATCCAACGAGCGAACGTCCAGTCTTGTTCGCGCGGTTCTATAATTCTCATTCGTTTGCGAACGTCTTTGATATACCGAATGGAAACAGATGAGGGAGCGAACCGAATGGCGAACGGCCGCATGCATTCGGTTTGCTGTCCAAATATACCGAATTTCATTCCTTTGTTCTTTCGGATAGTGAATACGAACCTTAACATAAAGCACCGCCCCTCTCAATGCGTTCTCCCACCATGCTTATGCTTTACCTTGCCCACACCCGTAAAAAACCGGCAACACTGTATTCGGTCGCACCGGCTTCTCGCCGGCCCCTTTGATGCTGTCTCTCTGTCTGTCAACCGGTCATTTATATTATTCTCTGTCTTACACGTTAAAATCCTATACACAGTAATCAAATGACCAGGTCGGTATATATATATATATATATATATATATATATATATATATATATATATATATATATATATATATATATATATATATATATATATATATATATATATATATATATATATATATATATATATATATATATATATTAATAAATAATATTTTCTTGCCTTTAGCTGTGTATTTTTTCTAATTTCGAAAAATCGAAAGTAGAGAAAAAATTTAAAAAAAATAAAAAACAAAAAGAAAATTGTTGTGCCGTATCGGTGAGAAACAGCCCCTGGACAGCCCACCTGATGAAGGGTAGGCCCAGAAACCGGTTGTGGGAGTGGAGCTTGGTTTCCCCCTTTACGACAAGCAAAACAATTTTCTTTTTACTTTTTATTTTTTTTTTAATTTTTTCTCTACTTTCGATTTTTCGAAATTAGAAAAAATACACAGCTAAAGGCAAGAAAATATTATTTATTAATATACACTAAAGCTGTAAGAATTTTGTTCATTTCATATATATATATATATATATATATATATATATATATATATATATATATATATATATATATATATATATAATTATTTTTTGTAAATACCTATAGTTATGAATCTACACGTAGTGTCACTGTTTTTACCCTACTACATGACTTCTTGAGGATTAGTAAATCAAATTATAAGATGGATTTATCAGCACCAAAAAAATATTTTTTTTGTAGAACTGTGTTATATTTGCTAACTGAAAAGAAATGCATGGTGCCCGATGGCGTAGAGGTACAGGCGCTGGTCTACGAATCTCAAGGTAGTGGGTTCGAATCCCACACCCGGCATTTCATCAGCCGACTATTTTTATAAAAATAGTTTGGGTACCTAGGCCGACTCAGCCTTAAATGAATACTTGGGATTCATAATCCTGAGGTAATAATAGGCGGTTGAAGCGTAGTGCTTGCCACATTATCTTCCTTGTATACCGAACGGCTCTAGCATGGCAAGCTGTACCTTGCTACTCCCAAGGCGTCAAACGCTATATACGGGAGCTATTATTATAAAAGAAAAACACTTCATTTCTTTTTAGGCGTAATATTCCAACTACCTAAATCGAGTTAGTTTATATTGTTATCTAAAAAATAAAGACAGCTTCTATTGGAGTTATAGCGTATTGAATACATAGCTCTGGATTATCTTCAGGTAGTTTACTTTGTAGTGAATTTCTATTCCTTATGTCTATACGCTATTTTATTATCTATAGATATTGTTATTTCAATCTACTCAAGTAGCAAAATGGTATTCTAAATGGATCACTTCGTTCTACAATAGTCTAATGTCTAACAAGTTTCTTCTCTTCTATGATTCTTGCTCAAGAGTCAGTAGCTTAAACAACTTAGAAAAAGTACATAAAAGTTTTTAACAGGTAATGCATTTCATGTCATCAAACAGCTACTAAAGTCCCCTGCTGGACGTATGCCTTCCTCGTTTTCTTATATATCTTCCGGATACGTCTTAATCGTTGTCACGCCACCTGGTTGGAGGAAGGCCTCTGCTCCTGAATGAATAATGTCTTGGTCTCCATTCAATAATTTTCGTCTATAGATTATCGTTTCACAGTGTTGCACGCGACAAATCACCTTTAGGACGTCCACGAAAACAAAAACTTGTCAGTCTGACCGGTAGAGACGACGAAACCAAACAGGAGATTCGCCTAGTATGAAGAAGGAAGAAGAAGAAAAAGATTATCGTTTAGCCTTACATTGTGTCCTGCAGTGAGACAGATCTTGGTCTTGCGGTCTTAAGACCAAAATCAAGACTTAATTTTTGATTAAGTAATGGTAACTTTGTTTACTCACTTGTTTCGTCGAGCTGCTTGAATCTATGTTATCTATTGATCAAATCGCTATGAAAAGTTGTCAAGCTATAATATGTTGTTTCGGGAGAGTTGAATATCCGGAAAAGTTGAGTTATTGAATGTGATTGTACCCAAACCACGTAATTAGGCCCTCCTTTACGTGTTAACTTTTTTCGACAATTTTATTAACATTTGAAATTGTCACAACAGAAAGCGAAGCCCAGTTTGGTTGCTTTTTCACTTAATTTTTACTACCTGTAACAGTGTTACAGATCAGAAACCTCGTACCTGAGTGAAAGATCGTAAGAAGCTTTTTATAAATAAATAAATAAATAAATAATCTTTATTGACTACTTTTTGTACATAAACGTTACAATTGTAGCAAGTCAAGGGGAAATTACATTAAGAAAGTATGTAAAAAAAACACAAAGAAACAAATAGAACAAACATAACCAGATTAAAATGTATAAACATACAAATATTTTAAATACAATCACAATTATTTACATTAGTGTGGAAATGTTGTTAGTGGATTTTACAGTACTCAAAATATTCATCCATACTATAAAGCGCATGCTCTGAGAGGAACTTTTTAATAACAATTTTAAGCTTTAACTTTTTTTATACTATAACTTGATATAATGTCATTTTAACAGAAGGTCAACGGCTTTTGTAGACGTATCTGTTTTATAAAAAAAAACTAAAGTGTACCGGAATAGTTGCATTTAGATATTTGAAATAGTTTATTTTTATTTTTTTTATGTTTTTTGCTTCCGACGACGGAAAGAGATATAACGTATGATCGAAAAAAACGGCGTCCAGTTGGCTTGGACACGACGATCGATGACATTTCCCATATAATTTTACATATTAAATGACAGCGATCTTCGTTTCATAACCATCGCTGATGCCGCTCTTATTCGATCATACGCAGCATTAAGTTGGTTGGAGGAAGGACAAAAATAACTATTTTATTTTCTAGATTTTCTTACAGTGGCGAAATACCCATAGGACTTTTTTGGAGATACTTAAATATTGTTACAAAGCCACGATTTTAATATTATTTCAATGCGATCTACATCGGAACTGCGTGAAATACAGGGCCGAAAACTGCCGTAGCGAGAGCTACGGCCGGAATTTTTAAAGTCAACTGAAATGAACCCAGCCTATAGTAGGTTAGGTTATGTTGCTGGGGTTTGGGATCATGTTTGATCCCCCACTCGGAGGCCTTGGGCCCATTGCGATACCCATGGATTGTTGTACCAAACCTTCCTCTCATTCTTTCTTTGCGTTAAAGCACTTCCAGCTCTATGCAAAGTTCCCGATGTCGCTCATGTTGGCTTCTGCTGCTTCCTCTAGTCCCTCCAAAAAACCTTGCCCTAAAGTTTTAAAGCGTCGGTATTCCAGTGCCGCACAGTGACAGTGTAGGTGCTCTATGGTTTCTTCTTCCTCTCCGCATTCTCTGCAGTAGTCGTTTGAAATTTCCATCTCACGAGGTTTACCCCCGTGGGGCAGTTTCCAGTGACGACGCGACGCCTACAATTATGTTTACTAGGTCCTTTCTGTGCTCTAGTAGTTGTTTTGTCTTTTTTGTCATCTACCACTGGCCATAGTCTTCGAGCTGTAGCGCAGTCCCCAAGGTGTTGCCACGTCTCTTGCTGCTTGGCCTCGATGGCAGTTCCTATAGCTTCCTTCAGTGTGTCAATCGTCACAAGCGGTTGTTCATCTGCCACGGCCTCTCCCCTGACCCCGTCTTTGGCGAGACTGTCTGCTTCGTGATTGCCCACCACATTGTTGTGGCCTGACACACAGCACAGAGTAGCCCCGCCCTGACGCAGCCAGGACAGTGATCGGCATTCCATCACAGTTTTCAATCTCACTGATTGCATCGTGATGCTTCTTAAAGCGCCCAAGCTGTCAGAGTATATCACGATATCCCCTATTGGTCTATCAGCAATTTTCTCTCGTATACAACTAGCCGCTTTCTTTATGGCGTAAACCTCTGCTTGTAGAACATTACAGCCACCTGAGAAGAAGATGCCTATACCTGTGCCTCCCGAATTTGCGGAAGCATCTGTGTAGACTGCTATCTCTTGAGTGTTCATTACTCTGTTACTTTCCCATTATTCTCTTGTCCAGGCTATAGTAACACATGGATACTTTAAATTGCGAGCGATTTAGTAAATACCATTGAAAACTAATCATTTATTTTTGTTACAGAGTAATAATTCTTCTAACAATGACACACTGTTACTGCATGGGACGTAACAAGAAATCTCAGATATACGAAGAAGAAGAGTTTTCCGACAGTATGAAGTCCGACAGCGTCGATGTTGGCATACCGCCTCTTTCGATGAAACCACCCAAAACCAGGAGGAAGCTGAATTTTAAATTCGGCGGTTTCCGTAAGTTGGTACCGGACAGGATTTTGAAATGCTTCGGTCAAGATGAACTGGAAATGACCCGTCTAGAAAAGAGTAAGTAGATTTTATATTATTATTTGTTTTAATGATTTGGTCAATTTTTTCATTGTGTTGTTTTCGCGTAGCACTACAGTCTTTGAGTTTGAACTGCTCATCTTCTGGCAGTTATATACTCTATACAGCGCAGTGCGGTGGTGACCTCTTGCATGTACCGCGCAGTGCGGTGGTGACCTCGTGATGGTGTCATCAGTGTTACACAAGTATACTGGACCTACAGTTTATAGCCAAATACGAATGGCAAAATCTGATTTGTTTTACTGGGCAAATAAGGTGGTTTGCTATTGCCTTCCTTGAAGTGGCGGCTCGCTGTTCGCTCTATTTAGATAAATATTTTGATATAAATAAATAAAGCGACTGTACTGGCTGGGGATCGAATCGGTGTGAATTTTCATAAGAATAAAAAAAACGAAATCACGAGAATTCGGTCTCAAATATCTTCGGAAGTGGTCTGAGCTTTTTCCATGACGTTGTAGGGTTCAGTAAGAACCACTTTTTTTCTAATTTAACCCAGGATCGGTCGCACTGTTCAAAAAATCTAACACATTTCATTTTTTTAATAATAAAAACTAATATATTAGTTTTAAATACTTTTCTCTCTAGAAATGCCTTAAGGAGACTTTGTGTTAGCATATGAAAGACCGGCGTTAAGAGTCCATTTCACATTTAGGCATTTAACGTTTTATGTAAAACTGGCTAAGTATTTTTGCACAAATGAAGAAGAAAAATTAAAGATAAAGGATTATACTATATCCGTATTGTAGCACATTTTTAGTCTACTTCTTTATTTTTAAGATTTTGATGATCAAATATCAACAAAATATTCCGTATGTTTGGATTAATTTTTCTCGAAACTAAAGATATAATTTAAAATTTCGTTACAATACGGAAATAGATTGAAGTTTTATGATTACAGTGATACATAACTTATATGGTTCTGTAACAAATTGCTAGCTATTTTATGGCAAATGCTGAAACTCTGCAAACCTTAATCAAAGCACGTGTGTTTGGAATTTTGGGTATGGCTTAACACGACAGGATCGGGCTAAGCCTTAGGCAGATTTCTGAAATATAATATATATTTCCTTCGGCCACACACCCGCTTTACCCGACCACTGAGAGGTACAACCATGTACGTACCAACTACGTACAAATTTTTTAGAAAAAATCTAACGACGCGACCAATCAAGTCTGGGATTTTATATATTTTGTTTTAATTTATTGGTAGGCCAGTCAATCTGGAGGTTGAGGTGGAAAAAATTAATAACCAACGGATCTCAACGGGAATGTGTAGATAATGATCTCCTATTTAACCTCTCAAAAGTCCCATTCGGTCCCAGTGGTGGGAAGTTTGAAAAAAACCGCCGCTATCTTGGATTTTTTCGTTTTTTTCAAGTATCTCCGTTTGCATAACTTTTCTCGAAAAAACTAAAAATAGTTTTTTTTATAGAGAATTAAATTTTGAATATTTTACCTTTAATAATTTTTTTTCTAAAATAAATAGTAATAGGATAGAGCAATTTTTTACTATACGGTTTATAAATTTTTCAATTTTTTTGAACCAATCAGCTATAATTTTTGTGTTAACAGTATAGTGTTAGTATAGATAAACCACACAAGTATAAATTTAAGCATTAAAACAATTAAAAATAACGTTTAAATATTATTTATTAAATAAAATTATTGTTAAAAAAATTATTATTAAATTAAAGTTATTAAATAAAATCTACTATGATGTCATCCTGAGCGTCACTTTCGTCCTCAACTAAAATACAAAAGTTTGTGCAACTGGTTCCGTAGCAATGACCACACTTTGAAGTGAACATTTGAAACATTTAAGAGCCAGCTTTCTAAAAGAACAATTTTTAGAGCACTGATTCTCTCGCAAAATATTAATTTTAGTAGTCAGGAGGCATTATCTTCTGTTGATTGAATAGGTGTCAGATCGCCTTTTTGATCTTTCTTCCATCCATATTGTACAGTATCTAACTTTTTACCAATCCATTCTTCAATCTAAAAAATACATCTTATAACATTTCCTATAATAGATATATCTTTACAGTTACCTGAAAGTATGTCCTGAGTAAATGGAGTTTTGCAGAGTTCTCAGTTGGAGGAAAATTAGCTAAATCAAAGGTAGTCTTAAGGGCTTACCTTAGATGTAATCCTATTGTATAGAATGTATCTCAGATGGTTAATATGTTTAATATAGCTTGGGCAGTGATATAGCTTTAAAAGATAATTTAATCCTGACTGAAACAAAAGTCATCTTTGTTAGGATTTTTTTTCTAAAAATACGTCGAGCTATTGACAAAGATCGTCATCTTTTTTCAGTACCGACAGGCACATTTTTTTTTGTTTCAGTCGGGATTAAATTATCTTTTAAAGCTATATCACTGCGAAAGCTATATTAAACATATTAACCATTTGAGAATCCCTTAAGACCACCTTTAATTTAGCTAATTTGCCTCCAACTGAGAACTCTGCAAAACTCCATTTACTCAGGACATACTTTCAGCTAACTGTAAAGATATTTCTATTATAGGAAATGTTATAAGTTGCATATTTTAGATTCAAGAATGGATTGTTAACAAGTTCAATTCTTTACAATATGGATGGAAGAAAGATCAAAAAGGCAATCTGACACCTATTCAGTCAACAGAGGATGTGGCGCCTCTTGACCTACTAAAATTATTTTATTGCAATTACAAAGAGAGTCAGTGTTCTAAAAATTGCTCTTGTAGAAAACTGGGTTTTGCATGTTCTTCAAAGTGTGGTCAGTGCTACGGAATCAGTTGCACAAAGTTTTGTATTTTAGTTGAGGATAAATTAACGCTCAGGATGACGTCATAGTAGATTTTATTTAATAACTTTATTTTAATAATAATTTTTTTAACAATAATTTTATTTAATAAATACTGTGTGTGTTAAATACTTGTGTTTGCCAAAAAATTAAATTAGTCACACACATCTCAAGTAAAACAGTAGATTCCACAAAAAGTACGGTGTAAATACTGTCCAATAAGGAAGAACCGATTTACACAGCATCAGTGTTCAGCTGGTGTTTCCCAATTTGTAAAAAGCACACACGCCAACCTACATCTTATCTTTGTATTGAAAACAATAATACCAGTGACGAATATTTAGAAGAACCAAATAGTTAATTCTTTTTCTTAAATAAAATGTAATATTTACCCAAGTAGCATAGAAAGGAGAAAAAACCATTGACCACGGAAAATTAACCACTATTTGGTTGAATTTTACTTATATTTAACTTAATAAATTTTCTGTAGGGAATAAAGTGCGAGAAATCATGCCGTAAACTAGTTAATAATAACCTAAAATTCTGCCTTTGAAAAGTAGCATTGTTGGAGTTAACTGGCATTGTTAAAATCTAGTTACTCATAACCTATTGAGGGCATTAAGACTACAGGGACTTAAAGGAGGTCAAATGTTACTTTATTATAACCTCAAATTTATCTCGGGGGTCAAAAGCATTGTTTGGTTTTCAAGTTAGGTTAAAATTTAGTTGTTAATAACTTTAAATGGGACCTTATTTGGAGGAGTTCAAATTAGGTTGAAAATTCAATTTATTTCGACCTCATAAGTCGCTATTATGCTTCAAAGGTAAAAGTAACTTATTTTTTTGACTTGGAAGAAAGTCAGACATACGGCAGGTTAAAAATTACCTTTTTTAATTTCCTCGGGGTGATTTCCGTTTAAAATAGTTTTCGAGGGATTATGACGTCATAGCACATTACCACCCTTGTTCCCACTGGTGGGGAACGAAAGAATATTGAATTTGTGAAAAGTTAATTGGATTGCTCGAAGATGTAATTACCGAACTTAGCATAAAATATCATTGTCAACTGTCACTCAAAGAAAATAAAAGTTTTCTGTTTTACCGGCGATACTCCAAAAGTCAGGCCTTCGCGAAATGAGCTTCGACCCTGCTTCGACCTAATATAGCCCATTTTTTAACTTGCACCTCGAAGGAAAAATACCTTAAGCAAGAAATCTTGACCTTTGAGGTTATTAATTTAAAGAAATCTTAACCTGATAAAAAGAAAGCGGACTTTAAGGTTTTAAAATTATGACAAACCTAACTTCATAGACGAATAGTTAAAAATACCATTGGCGGCCATTTTCTTATCCAATTTGTTTTCAAAAAATATTTTTTTGTGATATTGTTCTAAACTATTGAGAAAAATAAACAGACGTTTATGAATAATACTACCTACCACAAGTTAAATTAACTAATTAAGAACTTTAAAACTGTACCAAGGAAGTTAGCTGAAAAAAAGTTAGGTTAGAACCTTGAAAGTAACGATTTATTCTAAAATTAATTATTGAAAATACATAAAATTTTAATGGCGCATAATTTTTTAGGGCCTATCATATTTACATCTCACAGAAAATTTTTCTCCGCAGACATAATTATCTTGGGAATCCAGTAATCCACTTCTTACCAATAACTTATTTACATTTACTAGGAAGTGCATAATATTGTTACGGATTCCGTGGGTCCACTATTTAAACTCACGATAAAATACTTAACGAATTTATTTGTCTCACTCTGTACACACAACTTATACTATTTACAACACAATTTATGCAACTAGTATTACTCTAACGGTATTTCGCGGTATTATTCAAACTTGAGACTATCTTCAGACTTTAGACTTGTCCAACTGTCAAAGCGCGGGCCTTATATACCCCCTGGCGATGGTTTCTGGAATTTTCTAAAGAATTCTATAATTTTCTTTTACTTTCTGGCGAATGCGCCAGGTTCCTCAATGCACGTTGCGATTATTTAGCAGTATGCAGTTATGCAACCAATAATACACCTTGACAATATGTAGGTATTTCATCCATATTGGATTAATGTTCAAACGGCCATGCCAGTTATTACTACACTTCTTTGTCTTCCTGGTTCATTATTGGGAAATTCATTTACATGCACATATTAAAAAGAAAAATACTTTACCTTATTCTTT